CCCCCCCCCCCCTAACATATTATATACCATATCTTGCGCCTTGTTTTCTTCTTCTCCTTCTCTGGGTTCGTTCCCCCTTCTGTTTTTGCTGGTTGCTGCAATAATATACGTGCTGCGTGGGGGGTTTTCTTTTCCGGGTTCGGATGTCGCGTGTTGGTGGGATCTCAGGTGCAAGTCCCGCAGTTCCGGGCTCTACATTGCCTGCCGGGACACGACGGAGGAAGCCATCCTGGGGGTGCTGGACTCGATCAAGGAGATCAACCGAGACTCGCCAACACCGCCAGTAAGTACACGCATCGCATTCCTGGGATGTTTTCTGCAAGTTTCTGCATTTTGAATCATCCCGGGAAATAAATGAGGGAAAATTGGTTTTGAAAAGCTGGTTCGCAAACCCCGGCCAGATAAAATGTGGGTATCAATGGAGGCGTGAATGACACGAAAGTATCGTTTGGAAGACAGCAGCTAGGATCTTTTCCATCCCATGGCAGAAGCAAAATTATTTTGAATGTCTGTGTCTTTCAGTTTGGCCAAAAGGGCCACCAAAATATAGCAAAAGTCGTAGATTTCGCAAAATCTGTTGTTTCCGAAATTCTTGAACATTATTTTTACCTAAATTCAAAAAAAAATATTGCGCCTTCAAAGGTTTTCTTCGGCAAAAATTTAAAAAATTTTTATTCGTACGATATTCCGGAGCTGCACACCGTTAAAATTCAGCTCCAAGAGCCATTTAAATTTCTTTTGAATAGTTCGCTAAAAATTTGAGTCAGGCATAAAATATAATTGATTCACAGCAATAATACCCGGCAACGCAGGAAACAGAGCCCGACGAAATGAAGATAATTGGAAACAGCAATATTTCCCACAAATGCTCAGCGTTTGTTTTTTAAAATTTCCATCATCAAAGTTGTTTATTTTCCGGCACTGTTCCGTTATACGTCATTATACGTGAAAACAAAATCCCTAATTTTTCTAAATATTCGTCTGCTTTTCGGCACATTCGCTTCATCGCTCACGTTTCCCTACAAAAATTCAAGCGGAAAACTTCATCTGTACCCCAAATTAAAATAAAATGGCAATAGCTTCATTTTGTGAGCCACTATACATAATCTTCGAATCTTTATTCTCGTCACTATAATTCAATCTTTCAAACAGTGAAGAGAAGAAAACCACTGCTGAATCACTGCTGAAAAGGGAAATTATGAAAACAATTAAATAGAATGAATAAGTTTTTAAATCACGTTAAATTCTAGTCTCTCAATTTCCACTCGACGCCTCAGCATGTTTTCAACGAAAATTTCTTTTTTTCTCGAAATTCCCATGATCAAAGTTGTTCATTTTCCCACACTGTTCTGTTATACGTCATTATACGTAAAAACGAAATCCCTAATTTTTCTAAATATTCGTCTCCTTTTCGGTACATTCGTTTCATCTTTCACGTTTCCGAACAAAAATTCAAGCGGAAAACTTCATCTTTACCCCAAATTAAAATAAAATGGCAATAGCTTCATTTTGTGAGCCACTATATATAATCTTCGAACCGTTCTTCTCGTCACTATGATTCACTCTTTGAATTATAAGAGAAGTTAAGAAAAACCACTGCTTTAAGAAGGTGATTTAAACAAAAGGAGCAAATAAAATTCATAAATTCATAAATCGCGTCAAGCTCTCGTCACTCAATTTTTCTACTCAACACAGCAGCACGTTTTCGCCGAAAAGTGCTGGAACTTTCGCACAGCAGCTCTCGTCGGGGAATAACCACAGGGTTTATTCCCCTTCAACTGCTGTGGCCCAAGATCGAATCGATCAGAACCTTTCAGACCAGGGTATATATACGTACAGTACCATGCTGTGACAGCCTGGCTCTTATCTCATCTGCATAAGCTCGTCGTTATGGTGAACCCAAAATGCTGGAAGCGGAAGTTATTCAGAAACGACGCCGGCAAACGGGATGCGAAGAAGCATGCGACGGAAGTTTCGAATTTTGCTTTCATCTGTTTCACGGGTCATGATGCAGGTTTATTACGAGATGCAATATTCTACGAGAAAGAATCGATATTTAAATACTGTCTATAAAGAAAGCCCCCCATCTTATAACATTTATTGCGTATAAAAATAATGAAAGAAGCTCCTGCTGATTATGATGCCGTTTCTCGGTGGGAGCTGCTGAAGAATTGAATTTTCGTTCGCCACTAAACTCGCTTTTATTTCTAGATTTTATTTTTGTTTCTTCCTTCTTGTGATGTACCCAAAGAAAATTGGTTCGCATCTCAATTTCTCTTGAGTGATGTACCCACTCTGTTCTGATTAACGGTTATTATTTTCTGTGAATATTGGGTTATTTCGCGGTAATAGTCCATCATGCCCTGTTTTCCTTGATGGGCCGGCTCTTTGTAGGTTTCAATTCCAGATACAGAAAAGCAATTTTTCTGAGATTGAAGTGGTATAGCACATCGTGAATATAGTGAACCATTCCAGGGAAGCGAAATTAAATTTGAAGAAAAATTGTTGCTCGAAATATAAATAAGTAATAATGAAAGCATTATTTGCACAGCTGAAAAAGAGAAATGAATTGCTTCGAACTCTCTCATTTTTGCGGAATCTTCGTTCGGAAATTCAAAAAAGGGAAGAGGAATAAAGGTGATTTATTTGTAATCTCAGACCTTTCCAAGGGATCCGGGGGAAAAGATACTAAGGGGAAGTGATCAGAATATTGCGCATCCAATCGCTTTTGAGACGCACTATTTTGCAAAAAAAAAATCTTTGAAAAATTGATAGGCTTCGTATATTTTATGACGTCTTCTATTTAATGGCATCTCATGATCCCAAGTGAATTGCATGAAAAAAAATTATTCTCGAAACAAGCACTTGATAAAATGAACGGATTCAAATATTGCCATCGTCTGTTAAAGGGTACACAATTTTCCATTTTGATCATTTTAATAATTTTCAGCTAGCAACTATAAGCAGCATGGGAATACTGCTGAAAACTGTAACTGAGTCCTCTAAAAGTCTGAAAAAATACAAATATATTTAAATGCACTTCACGTTCGCAGTGAGATTCTATACTCGGACACAAAAAAAATACACAAAAAAGGGAGGGAATCTATTTATTTTACATTCCAGACATATTTAAATATATTTTAAATAAAATACTGTAGTTCGTCCTACAGAATTTCAAATTTCGTCAGTTTTCCACGGATCTAACACCTTCATTAAGAAATAAGTCATTCAGCCTTTCAAATTTTCATTAAATTGCATGTGCACGGGTCCATGACGTAAGCCTTTTAGTCAAATTTTTACCAATTTATTAGCTTAAACTCTCTTTGTTTGGAATATTTCTTCGGCTAATCAAACTTTCGAGACGACCCTTGGCCAAGGTGGTGGACTATAGTGCTTCATTTTCTCAGTTGAAAGCGTGAAAGAAGGTGAATGGTTCATCAGGGAACCGTTTTCATCCAAATCAGAAGACGCATTTCTACTCGGTTTTGAAGGCATTCCTGTTTCCTCATTCAGTCCCACTGTATTCATTGCATTTCGTGGTTAATCGAATATCGACCGAATGGGTAACTTAATTGGAATGCACCCCATTCCTCGCTGTGACCAGGCCTTGTAGCATATTCGACATCAGGCTCCAACAGGTCAAAAGAAGGTTACTGCAGAATACCGTCAATTGGAGAATTGAGAAAAAATATTCCAAATAAAACAGCTTTGAAGATGTGAAAAAAAAATATTCCAAATAAAACAACTTCTGTGGAATGATGACGACAAGTCAAAGAAATATCCAGATTTTCGTCTCACTATTTTTGAATCATTATTTTCCGGATTAAATATACGTCAGCGAAAAAAAAATACTGGGAGCAGCGAAATCACAAATATTTGTAATTTCGTATATTTGTAATAATCCGGAAAATAATGATTCAAAAATAGTGAGACGAAAGTCGAAATATTCCTTTGACTTGTCGTCATCATTCCACAGAAGTTGTTTTATTTGGAATATTTTTTTCACATCTTCAAAGCCAAGATCTGGTGGATTCGTAAGCATGCATATGGATTTTACAATAAAAAAAACATACTCTATATGATTACTTGTGAAATATATTATATTCAGCATTATATATTATATATTATATATTAGCATTATTCAGCCTACCGAATACAGCATTTTTGTCTTCAAACAATTACCCTGAAGCCCCTTTTGCATTCCTCAGAATTGCTGAGATTATTTGTTTCTCAACCGGGAATATTAAGGGTTTCCAAATTTTCGGGGCTTGATGGAAGATGGCAAGACTCATCCCGTATGTGATTTTTTAAACAATCTTATTGCTATTATTTTGTTGTACAGGAAATTTACAGCTTGTTCGTCATGAACACAACATTCCCAAGGCTTCCGATGCACTACTTCATGGGCTTGTCTGTGATTCATTTCACCCTCACACAAAGCAACCTGAGTGCCATCAGTGCAGGAGCTTTGGACTCATTGGACAGGGTGAGTAACATTATTGCAATTATTTGTTGTTTTGTATTGAAACATTCATTTTATTAAAAATTAAATAAATTTGGGTTTTGTGAGCTATATGTAGATTTATACAGCCCATCTTCAAAGCAGCCAATGATCTCTTATTCCCCATGAAAATTAAATTTCTATTATAACCATTTTTTTCTTGCTTTTATTGGGGACGAAATAGGTGGACTTCACTCCGCATTTTATTGTTATTTATTTCCATGATATAACGCCGACAACGTTGTCGCCGTCACCGCGTCGTATCAGTACCTGATTGACAAATTTTTTTTCGCAAGCAAAAAAAGACGTCTCAAATATTTCCAAGCTAAATACGAAAATAAGAAGAATAAGAGTTTGACGTTCACTGCAGCGACAGTGTGCTGATATACAACAGCAGAAATGCTCATTACTTCAAGGGCAGGAAATTCCAACGACGAGGAAGGAAACACGAACCCTTGTTGTTTTTCGCCGGCGTCGCATGACTCCGACCACGTCGTGTTTTACAGTATATATACTGCATCATTGATGTAACAAACCGATAGTGAGGAAGTTGTTTTTCTATTCCGGATTTCAAAGAAAACCCTCAATGTCATCGTCCGCTGGGTTTCTACTTTTTCTTCGTTATCTTTATTTTTATTATTTGGTAATTAGGACAAAATGCATGTTTTTTTATACTTTCCCAATGAGCTGACCCTTAAAATGCAACGTTTCTTTCTCCGAAGCATTCATAAATCCCATGTTGTTGTTTTTTAATATTACTTTTCTTCAAGTTTTCTTCCACGTTATATAGAACACTTTTCTGCAGCATCTATTATACAGCTAATATAAATTACTGACTTAACTAAACTTAATTACACACGAACTGCGGTTTTTCCGCGTGCCACTGCTGGTATATTACCATGTGAACGGTAAGGTGGTATTATACTGTATGTTCCTATGGGCTATAGAAAGCAGATGGTTCCTAAGGTTCAAATTATTATTGCGGATCATGCATAAATTTTCATTTTGTCAGTAAAAGTGAATAAAACTTGAGAAAAGAAGAAACCAGAACTATTCAGTTTATGGTTTGTCAACACAGTTTCCAGTCACATTCCCTCAGCGATAACCAAAAAAAACCCAATCAACTGCAAAAAGAAAATTGAAGTAGTGCAAATGAGAACCACTAGAGTACTAGACTATATGCGTGTGCTTTGGGAAAAGTTTAATAATCGTACAGGTGAGCTTTGAAGAAGTTGATAAATGTTTTGCGGGATTAAAAAATTTGTTATGTTGGGCGGGGATTTCATTGCATTTATGAGTCATTTCGTGGAATTTTGGACATTCAACACGGTGAAGAGTACCCCCACCCCAAAAAAAGCCCGCAAAATTGTCATTGATTTATGGTGGAACCCGGATTTTCCAATGTAATTGGTACTTGGACCTTGTCTCTAGGTTGGAATGTCCACGTGTTAGATCTTGCCCGCCCATAGACTTCCATGAGGACATATTTTATTGATGAACATGCTCATCAAAAAAATTAGGGAACAAGTCCCCAAAAAATGACTAAATTGATCTCTTTAAACTTGAAAATAAATGTACAAAAGAAAACCACATAGAATCTAGTCTTCTGGCATTAGAAGGAGCTCAACAAGCAAGAACAAGAACAAAAGGCTTGCTTTACTTTGCACACATGATGGAAAAAATCTGAAAAAAGGGGCACAAAATTAGCCTGTTTTTGATCAAGAATTAGGGTAATTTTTAATCAAATTTGTTCCCAATATTTGTGAATGTAAACAGCTCAATTTCAAAACAGATGGAAATGTAAAAAATAAACATTTTCCATACTTCTGTAATGTTGGAATAGTAACTATATCAGGTCACTAGTGACCTGAAATAGGACAGCTGATGTCATGGGCAGATTTTGTGCAGTTGTTAATGCCTCTAAGTTGAATTTTCTGCTGTATCCCTTAATATTGGGAGGCACAGGGCCAAGATTTGGAAAAAATGTCATGCCACAAGGAATAAAAAGCAAGAAAAGAAAAATGATCAGAAGAGCCAAAGTTGGGGAAAATCCCAATTTCTTTTTAACATTCCTGCAAAAAAATAGTTTTCAAAAAATAAAAATGTTACTGTTGAAGTGTTGGGTGTCATTTTTTCTGCATTTTATTTTTTCTGCATTTTCTGCCATATGATTTGCAATGAAAGATTTTGAGACCAATGGCATACCCTTTCCCAGATTTTTCCCAACTTTGGCTAATCAGCCAAAGCTGCATTTTGGTGAGCATACAGAAGATCAACCAGTGCAAAAACCATGCAAGAGGCTTAAGCCAGCTTAAGCTTTTTGCAAAATTCATCCATATAGAGTTTTTCTCTCCACTCAAAAAATGAGGCGCCCTTTTTTTGTTGCAGCCCAGCTTTCCCCTCAGAATTTTTGAAATCGACTTGGCATCCTTTCTAAGGGTTGCCTCCAGGTCATCCAATGCAATTCCGCCATTTTCATCAACAGCCGCCTTCACAGCCGCCCAAATGGCGGCTGTGTAATGGCGGCCAAAATGACCTGGAGGCAACCCTTAGAAAGAATGCCAAGTTGATTTCAAAAATTCTGAGGGGAAAGCTGGGCTACAACAAAAAAAGGGCGCCTCATTTTTTGAGTGGAGAGCAAAACTCCATGTGGATGAATTTTGCAAAAAAATGTAAAAGAATTGTCAAACTGGGCTGATTCTTTTTTTGCCAAAGAATATTTTTTGGCTAGAGAATAAATTTTTTTCAGCTCAATTGTATGCCATTTTCATTGCTACTCCGAGAACTTTTGTTAGTTCCCTCGTATGCTATACAGTAAATAAATGGAAGTATAAAAGTATCCTTGAATTATAAAAAAGAAATACAGAGACCACCCAATGAAATTGCTTTGAACAAGAGGGATTACGGGATTACAAATTTTCAGGTACAGATTGTTTCAAGTGTTTAAGAGCAACCAGGAAGTCTCCCAGGGAAAGCTTGAGAAATTTGTGAGATTTTTGAGGCACCTGGAGTGCCATTTTTTACTGAAATATTGCTGGCAAGACTGATGGTAGAACCCAACCTCAGAAGGGCACCAGAGAAGATCGTGAAGGCTTCAGCCCTTCTTGACTGGTTTTCAACCTGTGGTTTACTGGGTACCTTTTGGTGACATTCAGTCAAACCAAAACACACAAGCCTGCAAAAATACCCCAAGACCATTTCGGGATGGAATTCGACCCACCACCAAGGAAGCGCTTTTTTTTTTAAAGAAAGAAGGGATGGTTTTTATTTTATTTTCAGCAAGGGTCACATTGACAGCACCAGAAACCCATGTATAATATTCATACGCTCACAGCATTCCCTGAAAGCATATAAACGACGAGCCCTCGAAAGTTCCTCGTCCCCGTATCAAACCCGTGGCATATATGCTTGAAGCATGCCGGCAGATGACGAGGAGGAGGCAGTACAAGTAGAAGGGTTGATTAATTATTCATACACGCCCATATATCCCAACACCACCACCACGACTATGGCCGACACACGGATGCATGAACAGAAAACACACATTCTCGGCTTACCCGAGTGGAGTATTTCGGCGATGCATATTTGATGCGGCGCCCCCGAGATTACGGCGATAATTAATCCGAACGGTTTCGGAATTGCGGCCGGAAATGGAAAGTCCCCTCCGCCCAAGACATCGAGTTCCGGTATTTTCTCGCGTCCCTTGCATCATAAATCCCTCGCATATACGTGTTCCGGTAGGCATTGATTTCCGGCAGCAATCTTTTTTTTTTGTGCCACCTCTATTAAGCTTAGCATTCGGAAATTTTTGCCAGGGCGGAAAGAAATGATTGGCGAGCGAGTCGAACGTATGATGTATATACAGTCCATTAAAACATACGAGTGGAAGGAATTACTCGTATGTTACGATCGAGTGGTATACTTGAGGAATGTTGATGGAAAATACATCTTTGAAATATTTACTCGCTTTTTGAATTGCTATTCGACCACTGTATAAGAGTAGACTGAGCACAAAATAAATCGTAGTTACAACCTTTTTTCGCACAGTAAATAATATATATAATGTTTTATCCGTTGAGCTTATTTTCCATCACAGCAGAGAATTTCCACTTTAATGTATTTTATTCGGTATATTATTTTTAAAGAACCAAAGATCACTGAAACCCACATTCAAGGCAGATTGACAAATACTGTATAATGTGCGGTAGTGTCTCAAACTTTGCATCCTTCAACTTCGGAGTAGATCTATGTATGATTCTTTTCCCCAATTTTATAAAATATTTTATGATGAAAATACACAAGGGATCAGTATAATACTGTATAGTAAAAGTAAAAAAGTATTTCTATAATTTTTCCCACTCTCGAATCTCGGACTTACTTTCTCCACAAAAGTAAATCATCATTCAATCATGTAAATATGTGAAATCTCTATACAGTGATATAGTCTAAAGGCCAGAAAAAAATTGTTATGTAGAGAATTGCGTTATACAGAACCCCTATAACACGAGAAGAGAACCCTATGAGGCCATGAAAAAATTTGGTATACAGAGAAAATCGTTTTAGACACGATCGTTGTAAAGGGAGTCCACCTGTATTTTCCATTTGTATAAGATATGAAAAATAAGAAGGTCTTCGGGAAAATGGGTTTAAATTGTGCTTGTTGTTTGCTTGCTTAGCTATTTTTTCAGATATTGTAGTCATATTCTGATATGCTGGAGTTTTTTACTTAAGTTAAATAGAATAATCGCAGCATGAAATAATATCCTGCAATTTTGCTGCCTTGGAAAACAAGTCAACTTAGAATAAGGCCTGAAAGTATAGTTGGAATTTCTTTGTTGATTGATTCAAGTGAGCAGAGTTAAATTTTTTGAATACGGGAAATTGGGTTTTGCGTTTTTTCAAGAAGTGTTGCAATATTTATAGTCTTTTCTATATTCTGGTACATTCTACATTCTGGTACATGGTAAAATTATTTGTTTTGAAGTTTTGTACAAGTGGGTGTATATATTTTTGCTGTAAAAAGTTTAATCCATGAATTCACAAAAAACTAAAGCCTGCACTTTAGAAACATAAATATTCTTTTGTGACACCATGACCTCATAGAAATGAATGAATTCTGGAGAATTTACAACATGTGGAGAAAAGAAACCTTGCGATTGATTTTTCGCCAGCAAGAATTTGCTTGGCCAAAATAATGTGCATATTTAAAACTCTGACTATTATAAAAATGGTACAGCTTTCAAAGGGCTTCGTTTGTCGGATTGAACTCAGTGGTGAAATTCGTCTTCATGATTTTTTTTCATCCAAGAAAGGGAATATTTTATATAGGAGGGGCTACACGGTTCCGCGCGGATCAGATCGTTATATTGCTGCTGTTCTGTGGGGAAGCTTCAAAATTTAACAATTTAACATTTCGAGGCCTGTTTCAACGAATGGCTCCAAAGAAGGGCAGAGAAGTGTGAACAAATTGGTGGTGAATAACATTATTGAGAAGATATTTGCCTATTAGCCTCTTGGAACTATTGAAGATTTTTAAAAAATTTTGTAAAAATCTTCGGTGTTCAGTCAATTTTAAGCCCGCGCGGAAACGTGTAACGCAATACAGAATTGGTTGATCACGGTGTTGGTTTCTCGCATTAATTTCATCGTATTTATCGGCAGACATTGTCGCAACTTTCGTTCGCCAACAACGAACTGCACATTTGCCCCAAGTTCCCGCGCTTGTCGCAGCTGAAACTGCTCAACCTGAACCACAACAAATTGACCAGGATCCCGAGCAACCACTTCGAGCACCTGCCGGCTCTCACCCAACTTCTGCTCTACGAGAACCGCATTGCGCACATCTCTGGCAAGGCATTCGAAGGCCTATCCAGGTACGGTAAATGTTTTCTTGTTCGTCCCTCAATAACACTCCGCTTTTCTTTTGCCCCCCGCACAGAACTTCTTCGTTATAGTTACTTTCCTTCCTTATATACCTCGCGACTGCTGTTGTGTATATATACATTTTGTGCTTGTTTAGCAGATGGAGCACATATTTCACCTGGCGTAATTACCGACGCGTCGAACTGTATTACCCTATTGTTTTGTGTAACTGCGCTATTTTCAACTCTTGGTCGAGACTCTAACAGAGAAAGGCATTTTTCATATGTTTAAAAATTTTCATTTTCTCTTAATCTCGCTGTGACTGTCTTCCGTGATCTTTGTATCACATCGCCCAAAAAAGTCATCAAAGCTGGGCTTCAATTTTTTAAAATCTTTAAAATACAGTTTTCACGGATTTCACGGTAAAAGTGGTCAGTTGGAAGAGAGGGCAAGGATTTAGTTCTGCCATTATTGAAAAAAATGATGACATTCTAAAAATGGATAAATCTGAGAGAAGAATAAAATTATTTGAATACCTTTCTTAATCCGTAACTTGCAAAGAAAATTGTTTGGGAATTGACTGCGTGACTTTGGAATGTGTATTTATTCTCATTGTACTGTCCTTTTTTAATGACCACATATACGGCTTTAGAAAGCTGTTAGAAATGTCAGCCTTCTTTGGCAAAATTTGAATACTGCGCTTTGAAAAGGATTAGTCGAACTTCGCCAAGTCGAATTTCAAGCAACTAGCTAAAAGAAATTAGCGTCAGGGAGGTTTAGCGTTAAGAAAACAAGCAGTTTTTGTTCTGAAAATTGCAAGAAATTGTAAATGGTGATATTCTGGGTCTTAAATTGCTTCTTGAATGAGTTGTTAGGATGCTGAATAGTTATAGGAGGCAGGGGCTTATCATTTGCTCAATTAGTCCTTCCATTCCCTTTAAAAATACATCGTTACTCTTTTATTGCTTTTCTCAAGAGAAAAATAGCTAAAGCACCTCAGAAAATGTGAGTTATGGAGGTTTGAGAGGAAAAGCCTTCAAGTTGAAGAGGTTTTTAATGCCTCTTTTCCAAGGAAATTCAGACGGGGTCTTATTAAAAATATTTGGCTTTAAGGAGGTATTCTAATCATAGAAAGGTTCGGGTTAATAACGAGGTCCAACTGCATTAAAGTTGAATCAGAATTTTTATTTTTTTCGCATATAGCATGCCGTTAAAAAAAATTGTCACTGACGAGATAAATACGCCCCTCATGAGAAAAACATCAGCATACTCTCGACATTTCGGGTATATATTTTGACACGTGGTTTTCCTTTTTCTTCAAATATTTGAAAAGGTGGGTTGCTATATAGATTTGAGTGATAATTCCACGCACGTTCTATATACACGTATTCGTGTACGTTGATTGATTTGTCCAAGTCAGCAACAGGATTGATTTTTCTCCAGACTTGCATGATTGCCTTACCCCTTATTCTCCCATGTATTCATTCATTCATTCATTCATGAGCTTTCCGCGCCATTCATTCCACACTAGCGTACGTGACACGCAAACTCGTGCCAGACCCAGAATTGCACAGAGTGATTTATACATATAGTACAGTACTGTACCCTCGAAATAGAAAACGCCGTCACGGTTCATTTGGACATTCGATTTCGTGAGGCTTTCTGTCATTGACTGCCAGAACGTTCACCTTCCAATAAGATGCCGTGGATAAATCCTCGTGGATATCATGATTATTTTCTTTTCAATCGTTGTATGCAGCTCAGGTATTGGAACGAATACGATGGAAAATGTCGGGGCATATATGGTCATCCGTGTCTCCATGTTTCTTGTCAATCACCCTTATTCTATTGTTCGATGTAAAATCAGAAAATTTTCGTGACTGCTCAACTGGTTTCTCGAAAATCGAACCCATCCCAAGATGAAAAACCATAATCGTTTTCGATCTATTCTTCGTAAAAAAAATAATAATAAAAAACGACGACAAGAGTTACTTCAAGCTCAATAGATTTCCTATTCTGTCTGAATGTAAGCCTCTGAAGACTGGACAAAGACTTGAGGCCATTAGTTCGTACAGCATGCATGTTATTGATTTTAGACGACGAACTAGACGCATTATTGTACCAATTTACCAATTATTCTAACATGTTTCTCTGCGGAATAGTTTGAGATATCCCACTTGAAAAATGCAGCTAATGTTTTTCTTTGTTGACATTCGATTTAGACGAATTTATAACTTAAAATTGCATCGGTATTACCACTAAGCCCAATTCTTAATTTTGAAGAAACCTGTAAAAAATCGATGATATTATAGTATTCCTCAAACTGACTGGAAGATTCCTGGATCACAAATATATACTGATGACACTTGAATTGCTAAAATGAAAACTTTTGTGCCCTTATATTTTTAAAATTATCTGCTTATTATAAAAAAAATTACAATAAGCATCAGACCATTGCTATCTAAACTACTTTTCAACTTAGTAGTATTCTTTCTAACATTATTTTTGCTCAATGCGGGTTACTTTACTAGAAGTAATGAAAAATAGGTGTATACAAATGGAAAAAGAGCTGTTTTACGTCAACAGATTTTCGGGAAATGTTCCGGAAAATGAACCTAAGTGTTTTTTTATCATACATATCAGTGTAAAAAGCCTGTGGAGAGTATTTGCTTAGAACTACGATAATTTCCTTATTTTAATTGGAGATTTTGCGTAGCCAATTTCCAACAGCACTAGATTTTTCGCAAAATGTAATGATTCGAAAAAAAGGAATAATCAGCAAGGGCGACAATTAATTGCCCACAAATATTTTCCGGGTTTCTTTCGAATCAGAATCAATGACCAGCAGTTTGACTTTTCTAGTCTCATTATTTATCTGTCATTATATTGTACAGTATCGTACTTGAATTCGTGAAAGATGAATTTTGGGGTGCGCAATCTGGCCGCCGTTTCCGAAATTTGTCAAAATTTTTTTTTAGAAAAGAGATTTTTTCGTAACCTTCTTTTTTTCTGATTTCTCTGACATTATACAGGAATCTATACAAACTGAATTTGGGCGTGAACAATCTGACTGCTGTTCCCACCGAGGCTCTTCGGCCACTTCAAGCATTGCACACGTTGCAAATATCGGATAACAAAATCGATCAGCTGCATCAAGACGACTTCCCTGAAGGTACCATTCATATAATTCCTCAAAACACAACCGGAATTTATTCGCGAGTTGTTTTTTTTCACGCCGTTTTGCAAATGAACAACCCGAAAAAAGGACTGAAGGGAAATTTTGTTTTAAATTTTCCGCGCGGCGGTAATTGCTGCTTTTTATCCCTCATTAGTTTCACAGAAATGATGATTTCTTGAAAGATTATAATATTTCCGAAATACTTCAAGGACTGTGTAGGAATATAATGTATTTTATCTGTCAGACATTGTGATGAGAAGCTCGAGAAAAATAGAGAGTACGGAAGCTTCCACTTGATTAAAATTGAAACGCTGGAAAACCATACACAGTACAGTACAGTATTTTTATTTCAACCTCCGCAAATTTTGAATCTTTGCAAGGACTGCTTTCAATTAGTGTCGTCTGAAGGAGAGTAAGAAAGATTAACTAAATTGAAACGCTGGAAAACCATACACAGTACAGTACAGTATTTTTATTTCAACCTCCGCAAATTTTGAATCTTTGCAAGGACTGCTTTCAATTAGTGTCGTCTGAAGGAGAGTAAGAAAGATTAACTCTTTTCAAACGACGTCGGATTTCAGGGACGCAATTTGCCAGTCTGCTGATTTCTCTCGCTAAGACCATATTTCTCATCCCCATCTTGAGCATTGAGAACTAAAAAAAAAAATTGCGTATTTATTTTCCGGAAAATAACCAACGCAAATCGTTGGTATATATAGTCGACGAACTGTTATTCCATCCGGAATACAAATGTTATTCCTAACGATTCCCTGCAAATGGTACTCGTACTTTTCTTTATAAGTTCCCACTCATGATGGAAGAGAGGGCAAAGTTTTACCGTGACTGGAGGAAAAAAAACGGCGTTCTTGGTATTCAAGACGTCTTTTCTCGTGGTCTCAGAAAGGAACCCTTGAGGCAGAAGTTGGGAAGACAAACTGTTGCCCCCTTTGTGAAGCGAAGTTTCGGCTCTTGAATAAAGCGACCCGAGCAAATTTTCTCGACCTTCAAGAGAACCTGCACCTGGATTATTCACGATTTCGGCGAAAACTGAGCCCTCATGAGTTGGTTCGTTTATTTTTTTGTGCAAAGAATGAAACACGCTAATTTGTAAAAAAAAAATAATCACTTTGAGTGGAGGAATGAATAAGTTAAATACTGTAGTTCAAAGTTTTTGTCAGTCACGAGATGCATTTGAAGGGTAGATTTTTCTAGCGTATCCTGAAATTCGGAATTAGGCTTCGTAAAACATCAGAAGGGGACAATCAAGCATTTTAATACTTGAATAAAACCTGCTTATAGTTTATTTTCGTATTAAAATTCAAGCTTTGCAATCGATTATCGACTTTTTTGAAATGTAGATATGGTAGCACCTGAAAGTGTAGCAGATGAACCTCATTTCCTCGTCGTATATTTTCCACCCCAACCTTTATTGATAGCCAAAAAAATTGAATCCTAGTCAAAAAGTCATGAAACATTTGGTTCTGAAATCTCAGTAATATTCCGTTCATTCGACCCAGTATGCCATTCATTCGACCTAGTAAGAAACTTATTTCCTCGTCGCATTTTTCCCGACCCAACCTCGATAGTCAAAAAATTGAATCCTAATCAAAAAGTTATCGAACATTTGGTTGTAAAATCTGAGAAATTTTCCATTCATTCGACTCAGTAATCACTAGACGGACAAATCAAGCATCGCTGCTGAAATTTATCGAATATTCTGTATACATCCGGTCGTCACTATTTTCCTGTCATCCTGACTTGAATAAAATAGCCAAATTTTCGTGAAAAATTGAGAAAGCTAAGCACGATTTTGTATCTTGAATTCTGAAGGGGGGAAATTTCTCCCCGCTGCGGTACGTGTGGTAGAATTTCCAGACAGAAATATACAGAGGGCGAAGAAATGAGCTGTCAATTCTTAGTATAACCCCCCCCCCCCCCTCTTTTCCCTGGGTTTCTTTCCACATGTTGCACACCGACCTCATTCTGTCTGAACGCATTTCCGTCGCAGACTGTTTAAAAAATCATCAGCAACACCAGCAAAGAAAGGGCTCACTTCGAGTTACCCAGGATATATGGAACATGGAGGGTTTCTGGTTCCATAAGCCAATTTAACGAATACGGAGCCCTGAAACCGAATCAACGCGTGTCCTCGAGTTTCCTCGTGATGGTAACGCTTTATTGTTGTGACAAATGATACCGGAGAATCATTAATTCCATGTTACGCAACCAACCAGGTCTGTTTCATTTATCGGATTTGGTTTCTTGAATTTATTATGTGGGTTTCAATTGCGCAGTACATAAGCCAGTAGATTTTCGAAGCGGTACGTGGATGATTTTCGACAGGTTTCTGAACTTTTCAGTTTTTTTTAATCATAGACGAATTAAATCGACGAACGTAGACAATGGTTGTAAAATGATATTTTCTTGCCGGATGCAACACGAACTTGAAATTTTCGAAATTGGCATTTATAAGAAATAATTATTTATGCAAATTCAGGAGTTGAGTTCAATATGAAATTCAACCGAGTTCTTTCTAAATGGGAACTTCAAAAATTGAATATTATGATGAATACAAAATATATGCATATTTTGTAGAACAATTCGTATAAGATATGACGAGACATGTTCAACGCTGTCTTTTTCTTCTAATTTTAAATTTGAGAAATAGAATTTTATATTGTCAAACATTGATCAAAAAAGAAAATTATTGATAAATGCAATACTTCGGTGACGTCAAGTGGCCGAGTTTCGAAGTTCTAAAATTGAAGAATTAAAGCTGAATTCTGCCATTTTAGACGATCTGAAGTTTAGTGATCACATATATAGGTGCTCGAAATCTAAAATCAATAATTTTTGTATTTTCGAACAGAACTCGGATCAGGTCTGGACCAGCTGGACTTGCACAGGAATTTGTTGACGAAACTTCCGGCAAATTCCTTCTCGAATTTGAAAAGACTCACTTCGCTTCATCTGAATGAGAACCAGATATCTTCTTTGGAAGACGACGCTTTCGCCGGACTCGGTGAGAAGAAAATCATCTCAATTTGTATTAAAAAAAAACTGAATTTCCATAATTGAGAATAATTCACGGCAAAATTTTTCAACCTTATTTCCATTTCCCATGGGCTTTCTTGTTACTTTGAATAAAATCACATTTCAAAAAAAGGCAGGCCAAAAAAATAGCCGAATATATAATACTTTCATATTTCCGTATAACGCTGCGAAGTGATATTGAAAATAGGACCTTTAAATGTTTCGGAGCTTTCAGAAATGTTATCATCAAGCAATGACATTCACAAAAGCGTTTATTGTTTTCGTGCTCATTTTCGCAGAACACTTGCAGTGGTTGTACTTGAACCACAATCCGATCAAAGGGGTACCAACCAGGTCATTGCGTCCGCTGACATCACTCAGAAGTCTGGACCTGAGAAATTGCGAAATCAACAACCTGTCGGCGGATTCCTTCGAGGTTTTCTCCAAGAATCTCCAGTACTTGCACTTGCAATACAATCAGTAAGTTACAGTACAGTATATTTATATTTTTTTCAGATCACTGTTTGTCAAAATGTAGGTTTGAAGAGCTTCGCTCGTCAATTTTTCTAGCATCGTGTGTCAGGGGAGAAAATAAATTGCGGTTTGTTATTCTGAATGAACTGATGACTTAGATTTCTTAAGCATAATTGAATGAAAAGAATTTCTGTAAAGTTTACATACTTTTTTGAAGGAAAACATCGTATCTGGGATTTTTTTCGATTTATTGGAGTGCTTCGCACGTCAAAAATCATGACGCGGAATCTTTAAAATTTCAAAATCGAACCGGAAAAAATCATGAAATAAATAACAAATTTAATCTTTGAATTATATAGCCATGGAATGCGATTGTTCGGAGCTGTAGAGAATGTGAGATTGTGGGGTTCATCACTCGTGTATAGAAAATAAAACCCCGAAAACCTTTAAAATTCCAACAATTATCCTCTTGAAACTACTGTAATTTCATAGCTTTCTGTCCGTCTGGAAGGTTTCCAATGCTAAACTTATATCCTAAAATGCTCCCAAATCTTGATTTACTTTTTGAAAATGGGGAAGAATGAAACAACAGAAAAGGGCCAACAAAACTGTTACATTAAAAAAATTTTGCACAGCATATATAGCGTTTCGACTGTCATTTTAATGTATGCAGAAAGGATGGGATCTGGAAATGATTGGACTAAAATGAGGAAGCTGAGGAAAATTTTGAAAAATAAAACAGTACAGAAATGAAGTTGGAATAACGAAGATTGTTCCTCCTGAAATCATCTTCATCAGACTCAAAGTTCTTCGGGATCACTTTCAGGATAAGATACCCCACATATGCAAAGTAACTTCATCAAAATTAGAAAAAAAATGAACCAAGCTCGTTACCCTCCACACTACGCTTTCCCCATCATGTCTAAATCGCAATGGCATTACAGACGAACGAGAATTCAATTGAATCACTCGATATGGAAATTAAAGAATGAAAATATGGCTCTGTGAACAGCCCAGCATTATTCACGCAGTGGCTAGAATAGAATCTCGTCGAGCCACGCGGGAAACTCAATGATCAATCGGGAAAACAAATCGCCGTGGATTTCGCTGGTCATTCTTTTACTCCTGGTCTTCGAGGATCAAGGAAATAAACGATGATGCGTGATTCATTTACCCGTCAAATAACATCGAAAAAATATCCGATTGACAAGATCAGTTCGATCAGTGATTTTTTTCTTCTTTTCAAATATTTAATGAAAAGCGCCGTTGGTGTAGCGGTATCATGGAAGAATCCCATTCTTTCGACCCGGGTTCGACTCCCGGACGGCGCATCATTTTTTAGTTAATCCAGTTTTTTTTTGCTTATCCTTTGTAAAAATTGGATTATCTGCACAGTATTTTAATTTCCCTAAGGAAAAGTACTGTACTTTCGTTCGACTTTCGTTCGACTCCCGGACGGCGCAATACGCTCTTTTTATGCTTCATGTCTCATCAGAAGTACTGTACAGTAGTTTTCCTGAAGTAAAAAAATATTCCAATTCTTTCAAAAGATAAGTAATCAAAAAAATAATAATAATAAATTTGTGCGCCGTCCGGGAGTCAAACCCAGGTTGAACGAAAATACAGTACAGCACTTTTCCTTAGGTAAAGGATAATAGTACGAAGGATAAGAAATAAATAAAAATTAGCAAAATCACTGCGCCGTCCGGGAGTCGAACCCAGGTCGAAAGAATGGGAATCTTCCATGATACCGCTACACCAACGGCGCATGCGTGACACATCGCGAGATGATCCCTTGAAATCCTCACTGATTCAACTCTGCTAAATTACAAAAAAAGTTGACGTCTAACTTGATCATCTGTGAGATTACTTGTGTGCATGAAGAGAGGGACGAGGAGTGTATTTCGTATCATGAAACTTTTTCTTAGCCAAAACGAAATACTGTATACGCCGGTTGTAGCGTTTATATATAGGTACGTCGAACATATCGCTGCATTGCACATCACTCGCAGGATATTCGGATTGACCGAAATGATAAGAAGCATACTTTTTTGATTTCACTACTTCATGTAAGACGTGGAATTCGTTTCATAAATCGTTCGAATTCAAAATAGGCGAAGAACGGAATTGATTCTCACGGGTGGGGCAAATGGAAGAAATTTCTTGCAGCAATATACTCAATTAGGTCATCAACTCATCATACTGATTTTTTTCATTGAAAATCCCCATTGATTTCTTTCGGGAAATCTCTTCGATTGATGCTTTAGTGTAATCATGACGAGAGTTCGTGATTGAATTTATTCTGCTATATTTAGATCTGTGAATTGCATTTCAAATCTATATAGCTGTGTCGAAAAACATTTCTATACACGGAACTCTTCGCTGGAAAATAACGACGAGCCCTCTGTTATTCTAATTCCTGGCAAATTTTTATTTCATTTCGATCTAATTCCATTTCTCTTTTGTTGATTATATAGCATTAAAACGTTGCCGATGGGAGTATTCGACTTCATGGAATCTTTGGACCATTTGCAACTCTACTCAAACCGCATTGAACACGCGCCATACGATGTTTTCAGTGGCGTTTTAGACACAATGGAGGTCCTCGATTTGCACGGTATGTTTCATTCATATAGTATGTTACAGTACTGTTTTATCCAGCTGTGGAATGAGAGATGAGTCATACAAATTTTTCAGCAATGCGCCTCATTAAACCTATATACAACACATGCCGTTGGTTCGATCATGTCCTGCTTCGGTTTTAATCCCCGTTTTCACAAAAGAATTAACCTGTACATTTAAATCAAATTATATTCGATGACATGTCGCGAGGGCATTGAAATTATTCTTTATTTTTCACGAATACCAGTACAGTACCGTGCTTCACTGAAGTGGAGGTTTGACAAATGGTTTTCGTTTACTGGTTTTGTAAAGAAGGGTGATTTCCTGGGAGCATGAATGAAGTCTTTCATCGATATGAATTTTCGCCAACTGCTGAGGAAACACTTGAACGGTTCCAGCATGAAACATATTGGAAGATTTATGATATTTTACGAAGAAAAAATAAACCCGGTTTTTGAGTCTGCTTTTATGTATGCTGTGGATGCTCTCGGCAATTCGCCATTTTGATGAGAGCCACCATATACAAAAACGTCAAAGGGAAAGTAGGAACTATAGTGTGTAACGTTGATGGATAGACTCTGAATTGCGTGAATTAACGCTTCACTCAACTAATCTTATTGCCTGTTCCCTCTTCCATACCATCAGCATCACGTACTATCTAATATGTAGGGTAATACAATGTTTAATTTGATGTACAGGGCCTCATCAAAGTTACAGTCATATACCCTGACAAGACGCCATCATTTCTTTAGAGAAAGCGTTTTGGCAGTTGAAAAGGGTTGATGATTAATCGAAAATTAGTTTTTTATTATAATTTTTAAATATAGACGTTTAACGTGTTTAACTGGGCAATTATACGTTTATAATTGAATGCATTTCATTTTGAAAAATGAATAAACCAAACAGGTCGTTCATTTCCGCGCAATATACCAACATTTTTCGTTTGTCTTGCCAGAATTGAAAAAAATCCTTGCCAACTTGTCATCCGTTAAAAATAAAACTGTTGAAAATGATTTTTTTCAGAAAATCGAGATTCATTGCAACAAATTAATATTAGATGTTATTTTCTGTTGTTCATCACAATCATCAGCATTTAGTTTATCTCTTCTTTTAATGGGGGCTATTCTAAATTATTGCTACTTTTGATCTCCATATTGAGAATACTGTACTATTACACGAAACAAAATCAACGATTAATTCAAGCAGGAAATCGGGTAGGTAATATTTTCTACTACTGTATACTGTATAGGCAATCTTTTTGCTTCTGTTGGAAAATTTTGGCTGCATTTTCTTTAGCTTAATTTTGCCAAGAGACTTCGCTATTTTACTTTTTAATGCGCTGATGCAGTAGTCGGTCAATAATGAAAAACGCAAATTCGTAGAATGTGAGAAAATAAGTCCCAATCAACCTCAGTATGTGGTGTTTACTTATAACAATTTATTTCAGAGTTGTTTGAAGTTTTGCTGCTACAACATTTTATCTGTAATTTAAATATAAAATGATCGACGGACAAGATATTTTCATTAAATAAAAAGCAAATCACAGGAGAGAGGTATTTAGAAAAAAATGGTTCATGGTTCACCCGGTTGAACATAAGAAGATTCACGACACAAGTATTTATTTTATAAAAAAAAAAGAACACATTTATTACAATTTACACTACAAGTGACACAGATTACGCTGCATATATGTCGAGATACTCTGAGGTTTGCAAAATTGCCTTTCAGTGGGCGGAAAATAATGAGGCAGAAGCTGGCAAAAATGCCATGCGAAGCTTCGCACAAGAAAATTATGATCCATTTGCGTGACGACGTGGGATAACTTATAACGGACGATTTTGTTGTTGTTGTTGTCTTTTTCCCATTCTATATATGCAGGGAACCCCTTGGTTTGCGATTGCGACCTGCGCTGGTACCGAGAATGGCTGGACAATTTCCACGCCACAGACGATGCCGGGTTCCTGGTAGACAAAGCAACCTGCCACGTACCCAAGTATGAGGCTGACCAGTATGTGCACAAAGTGCCACACGAGGTTTGTATAAACTTTTGCTCCATATAAATTACGCATACTGTATTCCCATGAAATAAAACCGGAAATTGAAGAGTATATCCCTGGAAATAAAAACTGAAATTGAAGAGTATACCCCTGGAAATACGTCCTTTTTTAATTTTAGGAATATAAAAGAAAGGAATAAAAGAAAATGATTCAGTTGGACTGCAACCGGGGTGTTTTTCACCCTATTTTAAAGTTGGTGTAATTTGGTTCTTTAAAAAATACATAACTTTCAGACTTTGCAATTATTCTTGAGTGAAAGCCACAAGAGCTCATCACCCTATTTTAAAGTTGGTGTAATTCAGTTCTTTCAAAAATGCACTTTCAGACTTAGCAGTTCTTCTTGAGTGAAATGCATGAGAGCAAAAACTGGGAGAAGATAGTCAGGAAAAATATCCTTGAAGGATCAGTGAAAGTTTTTAGAAGATGGCCTTTGAGTTTCTCAAAATTTAATCATGATGCAAAACCTCAGAGGTTCAAGAATATACATGACAATAACTGGAGTTACGCCCAGTTCTCACAAAGATGCACAAGGACAAATTTTTTGAGAATGCCAATTCTCATTCTTTAAAATTAGGTGTGACAAATTAGAGTTTTGCTGTTTTAATTTGCGACACGTAAAATATTCACTCAACAAAAATTAAATTGAACGAAGTCAACTCCTCATCCTGAATATTTGCTTCAAATGCGTGAAGAAGCTTGACCCCCAAAAAATATCCACTGTAATCCAAAACTTAGGCAAAAGAGCTTTTGTGAGCAATGTAATACTTGGAAAAAAGATAATAGATTCAAGTATGAAATCATGAAAATTGCAATAGAAGGGCAAAACGGCCTAAAGTTTCCCTATTATTTGAAACTCCTTAGTTTAAGATTGTCTAAGAATTCTTTGCAGAACATTCCTGTCAGATTTTGTGAAACAAAATAATTGCCCTAAATTTCCTTGTAGACAGAATTTATTCAAAATAACTTCTTCCATAAAAAGACGATTTCAGTAAAGATTTCGTGAGCGTTTTTTTTCTTTCAGTAGATTTCAGCAGCTTGAACAAAGTCCTAATTAAACACGGATGGCGACTGAAAATAAAACATATTTATAAGGATCAGGTTTAATGATGTTGATTGCGATATAAATAAAATACGAAAGGAGTTTTCAACCATTTTCCCGAGAATAAATATCAATTTGTAGAACGTTTCTCATGCAAACCCCACATGCTACAGAAGATCTTTTTTTTTTGCATGAGCTTTCGTAAGGTGCCATCGTCATTTAGGCAGAATAAAAACTCTCTGAACGCAAGCAACATAATTTTTGGTTCATTCAAGAAATGCGCATATTTTTAATGCAGTAGATCAATTCTCAAGATACCAGGATATACTCTTTCATTCGCTGAGGTCGGGAACTTGGAACCATCATCAAAAATTGACATTGACTCCGTGCAAAATATGAGCTCGAAAACGATCGCTTGTCAAAGTGTCAAAAAGCAAAATTGATGGAAGAAGCGAAACAACGACTTTCTTGGCTCAGAGAGCCTTTTTAATTCATGACGATGCTCGTCACGTGACAAATAAATGACTTACTCTGTCTTTTCATACAGACAAGCATTTCCTGAGTTCAATAATCAACCTATAATACAATAGTTTCTTATTCTATGAGCGAAGGTCATCCGTCTTCCGATTTCAAAACGAAATCAAGTCACGATAAAAAAAGACTTTCCGCTTTCTCCATTCTTTATTTTTTTTGACATGAAATGCGTCTTGAAAGTGGTTCAACTTGCAAAAAAAAAATGATTTCGCTTCTCTCATAAATACTACATTTTATTCTCTGTTCGTATTTTTAGACACAGGATCGGGTTGAGCATCAGCTTTTCAGGCAAGACTCTGAAAAAAAAATATTCCAACAGCGCAATAAATTATTTGCAGGATCGAACGGAATGACTTCCAGTATTTTTGAAAAAAGAGGTTCTATATTCTGATGTGTAAACTCGTATCATATGGAAATTCGCGTGCATTTATCACACAAAGCCTGCTAAATTAACGGCACTTTGGGTACTACTTTCCTGATGGATTCAGTGATGGCCCATAATGAAAGTAGATTACAGTCATTGTGTCTTGATTGATCGCGTGTGTACAAGGTTTATCTTCATTAATGTCGCCCTTGATTAATGACGATAGGGACGAAAGCATTCATTCATTCAATCGTTCATTCATTGATCTCAATTCGGCAATTTTAAAGCTCTGGCGAATTCCTCAATAAAGCAAAACGGAAGACACATTATAAACGATACTGTATCATGAGTTGACATTTAATAAGTATTATTGTATTCCATTAATTGCGATGAGAAATCTAAAGGTATGATGCCCGGCGTGAGTCAGTTTTGAAAATTAATTTTCAATCGAATAAACAAATAATCACTTCATTTTTCTCTGATGAAACGAATCCTAAAATATGTATCGGTTTCTGACAGAGACGCACAGAACTCAATTACTGGAATACATTACTTTTCGTCTTTTTTTGGTATAGCATTATGTAGAGCAAAAATTGAAATTCCGATAAATTTTCACAAAATTAATCCAAAAATGTCCGTCTGTCTGAACATTGGAAAATAGATACATGTCTCATCAGCATGCTTTATCGATTCATTCAAGCAAATAAAACTAGGAAAACCCTGGTTAGAAAGCAGGTTTAATTTTCTGACGTGGGTCATTTTTTTTAAGTTTTTTAGTCCTGATCATGAGCTACATTTTAATAATAATTAAATTTTTGGTCGTTCAAAAGATATTACTGTACTTGGCATTGAATTGTAAGTTTTTTTCTATATCTTTAAACAGACGTTTATTGGAGCCCATCAGGAATTTTAAAAATGGGGTTTTTGGTTCACCCTAAATTTCACGTCGAATTTATTTTTGCTGATCTGTCATTCAATTTTTGCAGGATTTTGGCTGCAAAACCAGTCGTTCGGGGTCTTGGACTTCAGCAGCCAAAGGACTCAGCAGCATTAGCGACATCGCCTTGCCAACAACGTCGCTTCTTCTCGTCAATCTCGCCAAAAAAATATTCCATTCCTAGTTTATTTTTGTGAAAATTCAACAATAAGAAAAAAGCCGGCCCTTCAGCCTTTTCCCCCACGTTCATCGTGTCGCCAATATTTTCTGCTGCTGAAAATATCAAGACCAACGCAACTGCAAAAGTCGTCTTTCATGCCAAAAGTTGAGAAAATGAATATTTACTGTTTCTTTACCAGATTGTATTTCGTCCCCTCCCCATGTCTTTTCTTTTTTTGGCACAAAAAGATTCTTTCGAGAGAGAAAAACAATCAGCAGCAATCAATACGGATCAACCAAGTCTTTCTGAAAACGAAGAAAATTTGCGCGGAACGGCTTTCAGAGAAAGAAAAAAAATTAGTCCACAGAGAAACCCAGTTGCTTTCATGGATTATACGGAAACTTGTTTTATTTTATTTTATAAAACTGAGGAAAAAGATATGAGCAATTTGTATTGCTGTTTTTTTCCTCGCCAACATCTCGCAGCGAGCTTTCATTCGCCCGTTTCGTTTAGCTTGTTTCAAAACGACGTCCTGAATCAAAAAAGAGTATATTGCATGAATTTCAAGCGAATCAAGAATGATTTGCTTGAAAAGAAAAAAAATCACACGATGTTAAAGGGGAAAAAAAAGATCGTCTTTCTGCGTATCAGGGATTTTATTGATTCTTATTTTATTCTCTCGTTTTCCCCAATTCAGAAAATGCCATGCATTGAAAATCGCTTGTGCTTTATTTTCTCGCAAAAAAAATTTAATACCAAGCGCATGTTTTTTTTTTTTGCTGTTCTCTTCGTGCTTGGAAACCATCATGGTCATCAACGAAGTTACCTCCAGGAAAGGATTTTACCAAAACAGAAAATGGAAAACCAAAAATTTGCCAATTTATATATCTCCCGAAATTTCATTCTGGTTCGACTAATTTTTAAAACAGAAAAGGGACAAACTTTTTTTCGACACGCAGATTGCTGCTTTATCGCTTATTGTGATCCCGAGTGCAAAAAAAAAAAATGAAAAAAGGAAAAAAAATATTTCGGGGGGTGTTTGCGTTTTATTTGAAAAGAAGAAAAACGTTGTTGCTGGGAAGCGATTTTGAAGGTGGATCCATTCTGGTCAAACCGTTGTTCTTGTCTTAAGATCTCTTCGATGTGTATAAATTGCTTTGCGTTATTTGAATAAACGAATGAATGAATCGGATCTCTCGGCAAATATTGTATTCAAAAGATGGATGACTGCGAGAAAAGCGTTTTCCCCCATGTTTTGTGGAAGAGCGATTGATGATATTTCAATTGGAATTTGATGCTTGGATTGTTTCTGAGAGTGAGTGGAAATTGAAGATGTGGAAGAATAAACGGACTTTTTGGGGTGTGGGAAGCAGATACACACAAAGTTTACATTATTGCACTTTAAATATACTTGGACTGTTGCCGAAGTAAACCTTTTCATAAAATGTATTAATCCAGCTCATCTTTGAGCCGTATTAGCCAAAAGGATAAAAATATATAATATTGTCTGTAAGATTTTGTAAATAAAACACAGGAGTGGGTTTGATACTATCTTATATCTCCGCAGTCAATAGTACATTGTTTTTTTAAATATGCCCAAAAATATGCGACACTGACTGCATATGTGTGTTCCAACAAACATCAGCTGATGGTGTAATTGACAGAAATTTTTGGGTGTGAAACAAATAATCGTTGAACAGAACACTTGTTGTGAAGGATCAGCAGACCTTATAAATTAGCAGTATGACGAATTTCACTCAAAATGTAATCCAAAATTAATTTCAAAAATCTGATAAAGAATACTTTTATTGTTTGTTAAATTCTAATGCGTCTGGTGTGAAACTATTATTGTTGTATATTTTTATGGGAAACTTTCTTATTGTTTGGTTCTATGTGCAGCTCTGATATTATGAGAGAAAAAAAGTAAAATTAATCTTTGATATTTCAGGATGTGAAATTCTCGATTTAAAATACAAATCTCGGAGAAATAGATTATCATTCTGGCCCGGCTGATGGAAGTTTTTTGAGGTAGATTTCACATTTAAACAATAAATGGGTGTTTGTAAACTCAGTTGTTTACGATCAATTTGTTCCTCGATATCATTTTAATTACGCCACTCGATTGAGCCGAAAGGTTGTTCATTCAAGTTCATTGGAAAAATAAATAATCGGGAGGCTAAATTTTTACCTAAGTAATCTTGCACGTATATGCTTGATGATGAAATACTGTATTATCTATGCACAAATGCACAGTAATAGTGTAGTTCAGAAAGCTTAAAGATATTTTTAAATTGATTCACGGGTTTTAGTGGAATTTTTCAAGTTGATGACTCACCGGGACGACGAAACTCCAAAAATCCCTTCGACGCGTTGTCGGCCTTTATTCCACGCTCAGTGCCGTTAAAATTCCTATTAAAAGAACGCATCGAAGCGTTTTATGAAAGAGAAAACTCACTTACAGTATTTCACCAATGAAACACTTACCCCAGAAAATGTTCCATCGAAATGTCGTCACCCGTCTTCAACGCAACAGCAGTCACATTGTTCATCAGCGGAACTTCTGTTTCATTATTTCCCCCGCCGGAGTTTGGCGAAATTCGCGATTCCTGTGACGACGAGAAACGATTTGATTTTTTGTCCGCGGAGTCGATTAGTTTGTCAAGTTTCGCTTTGTCTGAAGTTGGTTCAAGATCAGGCCAGAAATCCCCCAGAAAAGACAGCGTCTTTGATTCCAGACACATGAACGGATACGTGAGGAAGCTTCTTCCGGTACTTCCGTAGTACTGCGACGCGTCCCTAGAGCATGAAAATTGTTCGTCCCTTTCGAGCTTTCTTTTGCTGAATTGAGGTGACTTGCACTTGATTTCGGAAAATGATCTTCGGCAGTCCTACGAAAATGAGCGATTATTATTTTTTTATAAAATGTTGTCGCTGACTTTCCTCAAATCATATTATAATAGGCAAATACACAATGATTTTTAAAGTAGCTTTGAAATAATTACAGTGAGACCCCGATATATGCGGACACCCCAATATACAGGAAATCGGACTTAGAGACACTGGAAAAAAAATCAGGCCGGACATCCGGATATTGGTCAAGCTAAGGACACGACACTTTTCTGAAATTTTCCCAAAAAAGTAAAAACTTTTATTTTTAATCTTGATATATTTTGAAAAAAATCAAGTTATTTATATTCACAAAAATTGAAGAAAATATCTCATGATGAATTCATTATAATTCATAAGCAAAAACAAGCTTATTTCGTGCATCTTTTTTTCCCATCGTCTGTGCATATTCTAGCAAAACTTATTCCCTTTCTTTGCTTTTCGATCTCATTTTTATACCAAAAGATCAGATTCTATGTGGTTTTGTTCTGCACCATTGTTTTCTACAACTCAAAGTTGAGGGAAACAATTTTTATTCGATATTTTGAGGACTTATTTCTAATTTTGGACACAACATCAGAGAACCAATTAAATACATTAGCATTGAAGTCTAAGGGAAAACAGAACTCCACTTAGGGACATTCCGCCATCAGAACACTCTTGATGCACCAAAAACTGTACTTACGCATCTTGGGGTCTCACTATACATGGTGATTTGGATGCTTCAGATGGCCTAAAAAATCGTTTTAATTATTGCGCGAAAATTGTCAAGAAATCAATTGACAAAGTTGAATATGGACATACTCAGTCATTTAGGTGTACATAAAGCTTGTTCAAAGTTCAATAAATGATGTCATGCGCAGAAGTCATATGCAGTATGCGTGCATTTTCTGATTTTCTTGCAATGAATCAAGTGTTCTGAGTATACTAATGCATTATACTGATTATAGGATACATCTGTACAACTTTGGCCTGATATGTAAAGAACTCCTCAGTTCATCTATTTTTGGAGGTCAGTGCTGCGCTATATTTTCATTCGCAATAAAAAATGATGTGGCTCTCTCTCTCTCTCTTACATTTCGAGCTTTTCCGCCAAACAAGCCAACGATCAAACCAAAATCGCTCGATTTTAAATTGAATTTCGAGAGGTTTGCATAATAAATGAACGTTCGGGAAATTATGATGCACTTGTATTCATCTGACAAGTACGCGTGCCACATTTCTCTCCCCGCGCATGAGCAAATTCAATATTTCGAGTTTTTCGGCTTTCCGGAACATCCTGGGATGAAAAGCATACAATACGGCACTTATTCATGTATACTGTAACTCTACATAGGCGATCACACCAAGGAAAATGCAGGCGGACTGTCTCTACAACGAAACTTTAGAGGGGAAAAAAGAAAAATCGTTCTATAGAGAAAAAACACATAGATACGCATAGACTGTATAACATAACGTACGGAGAGAACCTCATGGGTCTACAAAAAGAATTCCTTGTACAGATGAAATTGTTGTGGGCAATTGTCCATAGCAATTTTCTCTGCATAATGGACTCTCTGGACACAAGTATCTTAAGATCCTAGTCCGCTGTAAATAACTCATCACCCCAGTCAGCAACACTCTTTCTAATAGTTCTTACTCGTGATAATATATTATAAAACATTTCCGTCTTCATATCATGGTGCGCCGTTGGTGTAGCGGTATCATGGAAGATTCCCATTCTTTCGACCCGGGTTCGACTCCCGGACGGCGCAAACCTTTTTCCCGAGAACAATTCACCCGCAATCGTTTTACTCTGTTCTCAGTACCAGCAATCCGATTTTGACGAATATTAAAAAACAGAAAAGATTCAGATCGATACATCATCAATCTCAGGCATTTGCAGATACAGTCCTAAAGATTGATTTTATACATAAGAATAAAGAGTTCTGTATCTATATTTACCCCACAATATAATACTGTACAGTAGTTCTACTTTTCAAAGTACAGTACTAGCTATACTGTACTTATGCTTAATGATAAAATCATAAAATAATGTGTGGTGCCTAAAATTCATATTTAAACTATTGCTATTTAGTTTTATGTACAGAATATACAGTATTATTAAACATGCAGTTTTCTTACCGGATCGCAACAGCACTGAAGATCACAGCGACCGCCGGTCAAGTCACATGAACAAACCGTGGAATACGAGTCAATGGCATGCGCATTATCAAATCTCCGCCTGGGTCTGTGTGCCCATTCAGCCACAAGAGTCCAATTGAGAATCTCCACTCCTTGCTTCCGCACCACCGCTTCGTCGTCAGCCTTGACTGCTGACGGAGGGACACTCGGCGACAGCGTCGTAGTCGAATCACCGGGATCCACAACACTCGTACTGTTTCCATTCACGATCACTGTCATGACACTCATCAGCGTAGTTGACGTGACGAGCATTGCTAAAGCGCTCCAACTCATTTCATTCAATTCGGGCAATAAATCCCAAAGACTCTTTTCGTAAAACTTATATTCACGTTACGTACGGACGAGAAATTCGGCACAGGTTTTTTTCACGTTTCTAGTGACATCTGTCTTCCAAAGACGTAACTTTCTGCTATTCTTGCTCAGAGCGTCACGATAGAGGAAGGTATCACATTTCCATTCAATCCGTATTCCCTCCGCTTCACGAGTCTGCGCGCGCAGGGATCATTCGTTTCTGATGGAGAACAGCACACTCTCATGTATACCGCACGTAAATGTCCCAAAGAAATAATTACTCACCGAGTAAGTGCCTAAGAAACTAACGAAAGACCGCGTTATGTTCGTCTTTAGCTACATACGACAGTCGAGAGTACCAATGGATTCTACATGGGTAAGCGGACAAAACGAAACCTGCCTTGTAGGCATTGGATAAATTTTGACTGTGTGGACGGACCAGCGGTTGCTATGGTAACAGATGGCTGATTTTTCCCCTCACCATAGATCAATGATGAATATGCTGGTTATATACCGGGCAGGTGGGGGTCAGAGCGGTAGCAATGGAAGTGGCAGGTGCTCCATCCCAGAAAAAAAATTAGGCGTACATATGGAACTTGGGCTGTACGCCTTCACCAGTACAGTATAGCGTACGGTTTGGCGTACAGCCCAGTTTGATGTACGCCTCTACATTTATCGTATTCGTACCATGCGGTACGCATACGATATAGCGTACGAAACGACGTACAGCAACGTACGGCTACATAGGCATACGTTATTGCTGTACGCCGTTACAAATGCCCAGCATAAAAAAAA